CGGAGCGCGCTGCACCCCGCCCCGCCCCGCCCCGCCCCGCCCCCGGGGGCCTTGCAGTTTCCAGGTGGGAGAGGAGAAAGGTGTTGTTACTGCTGTGTTCATATCGAGCCTAGGGATTATGACCATCAGTTTGTACACCTTGGCCTATGTTCAAGTGTGTGTTATCATGCTGGCGTCGCCGCTGATTTTATGTATGGTTCAAATACTTAAGGCCAGTTGTACTGATCTCGCGCGTGGGGCTGCCCCCTCATTCCTCCCGGCAGAGCTGCACTGGGCAGTGCCCACCAGCGCCCTCAGCAAATTCAGGGGCAGCCCGTGTGCTCTGCCTCACGCCTGCTTGTTTCCAACCTGAGACTGCCCTGGGTTTCCGGTCCACTTCTGCATTTGTCCCAAACAGTCCGTTGTTGCATGCTCAGTGCTCTCGCTTTTTGCGGGGAGGCTTGTAGATGTTTGCCGCGGGTTCCCACAGCACGAGTAGGCCTGTGTCACGTGGCAGCAGAGAGCGGGCGCTGAGAGGGACAGTGAAAAAGATTTGACCAGGATTTTTCCCCTGTTCCTCTCTCACTTGCAGCCTCCAGCATTTAGGCTGCTCGGAGCCGTTAAACAAAAGAGGGAAGAGGGAGGATACAGTACTTTACTTTAATCTTGGTGTGCTCTGACGCCAAGCCCAGCACATGCCCAGAAGAGGCATTGCATTAGTTGGACCTGGTTCGCCCAACCTCTGTATAGACTGGGCACTTTAAGGGAGCTTTTTTGGTGCTTTTATCTAACAGCCAATTGAATCAGCTTTAGATAAAAGTGCCCAGAAGCCCTGCTGACGCATCCGATCTATACAGATGCTGCAGAGCTGGGTCAAAGTAACATGCTGCTTCTTCCGGTAAAGTGTGTTTCATAGATTTCATAGACATTAGAGCTGGAAGGGACCTCGCAAGATCATTGAGTTCAGCCCTCTGCCCCAGGGGCAGGAAGTCAGCTAGGGTCAAAGGATCCCAGCAAGATAAGCATCCAAACATTTCTTAAAAGTGTCCAGAGTAGGTGCTTGCACCACCTTTGGAGGGCTCGGACAGTAAAGAAGTTTTTCCTTATGTCCAGCCTAAAACAGTCTTGGAGGAGTTTGGGACTGTTTGACCTTGTCATCCTTTGGGGCGCTCTGGTGAAGAGGCATTCCCCCAGGTCCTGATGTTCACCCTTTATATACTTATAGACAGCCACCAGGACCCCCCTGAGGCTCCGCTTCTCCAGGCTGAAGTGTCCCATGGCTGTCAGCCTGTCTTCATAAGGCCTATTTTCTTGCCCTCTGATCATGTGTGTGGCTCTCCTCTGGACTCTCTTGAGCTTCTCCACATCCTTCTTGAATTGTGGAGCCCAGAACTGGATGCGCTACTCCAGCTGAGGCCTCACCAAGGCCGAGTACAGTGGGAGGATGACATCCTGAGATTTGCTTGAGAAGCATCTATGGATGCAAGGCAGAGTTTTGTTCGCTTTACCAGCTGCAACATCGCATTGGTGGCTCATGTTTATTTTGTGGTCGATCATGACCCCAAGTCCCTTTCGGCCGTGATGCTAGTGAGCATAGCACTGCTGAACCTATAAGTGTGATGCAGATTTTTTTTCCCCCAAGGTGGAGTACCTTGCATTTTTCTGTACTGAATGTCATCAGGTTTTTATCCACCCACTTTCTAAGCCTATCAAGGTCAGGCTGGGTCACCAGCCTATCCTCGGGCATGGACGTGCTACACCAAAGTTTGGTGTCATCGGCGAACTTGATCAGTCCACTTCTGACACCAGTGTCCACATCATTAATAAAGACGTTAAAGAGTACAGGTCCAAGGACCAAGCCTCAGGGGACACCACTGGTCATGGAGTGCCATTATCATTCACTTCCATTGCCTACCACTCTCTGGGTCCGAACTCGGAGCCAATTCCCAGCCATCGGACTGTGATGTAGCTGAGGCTGCAGTTGCCCAATTTTTCCATTAAGAGATCATGGGACACCAGATCAAAGCCTTTTTTAAAAGTGTTTTGGTT